AAATCTTGCTGAGAGCAGGGAGAATATCAAGGTAAGCTATTTTCTCCTTCACTGAGAATCAGAGTTTCAAATTCTTTCTCATTACACAGGCCAAGCAGGAGTTAAAAGAAATTGTGGTTTCTCTAAGAGATCTAGCTAGGATTTATCAGATAAAAGTCTTTATCAGATAAAAGTAGGAAAAAGTCCCTTATCTCCAGTACTATTTATTGGTTCAACATTTTATTGACTTCATTCATCTTCCTTTATACCATTATTCATTCATTCAATATCTATTGTGCACTAGACATTAAACCTTAGTGTAGAAACTATTTTTAGCAAGTAGTTAAGTACCATAGGGAGAGTGACTTAATTTAATAAATAGAAATTCCTGTCAAATAATAAATGTTCATTTATTTGAATCATCATTCTTTACGATGGGTTAGACTTCAACAACGGGTGACACAAACAATTCAAAATGGCTCTGAAGTCTACAAGGAAATTGGAAACTTGGGGTAATTTTTGTTACCCCTCAGGGGTTAAGTGGCCCTTTGCTTTTACAGCCCTATAGTAGTTTTTTTGCCATAATTTTATAGACAAGGCATTACTGTCAACCCTGAAGTATAAAAAGGAGCAGAATTATTAATAAGAATATGTTGTAATTTAAAGATAATGATTATAATTCATATAATTAATGATAATATATATGATACATATGATAATATATATGATATAGTTTGCAGCATAGTCCATGTTTATGTTTGCTTTCTCTTGCACACATTTCTGCTCCACTCACTGCAGAATCTATAATTAATAGTAGTTTATTTTTTTCCTTATTTGGTAAGTATTCCTCTCTGAGATCATCCAAAATGTCCTTTTGACCGTTGCCTCAGTTGAAACAAAGTGGGTGTCCAGGCATGTTTATTTCTCCCCTGAAATAGCTTTCCTACTACACAATTTCCTAATGGCATTTTTCATCTGGTCATTTCTCAAGGTATAGATTAAGGGATTTAACATGGGAGTTATCATAGTATAGAACACTGCCACTGCTTTATCAATAGGTAAAGTAGCTACAGGTCTCATGTACGCAAAAATGCAGGGCACAAAGAATAAAACGACCACCGTGATGTGGGAGGCACAGGTGGAGAGGGCTTTGCGCCTTGCGTCCAAGCTGTGGTTCCTGAGGGAGCGCAGAATGACCACATAGGAGACTATCAAGAGGAGGAAGTTTAAGACACAGATGAAACCACTGTTGGCAGCGACGAAGAGCCCTAGAGTGTGCGTATCAGTGCAGGCAAGTTTCAGCAAAGGGTTCAGATCACACATAAAGTGGTCTATGATGTTAGGACCACAGAAGGGTAATGGGATGATAAAGAGGATCTGTACGGTTGCATGAAGAAAGCCTCCCACCCACACCACTCCCATTAGCAGGCCACATACCCGCCGATTCATGATGGTCATGTAGTACAATGGCTTGCAGATGGCCACATAGCGGTCATAGGCCATCACCG